AGGATGTCGCCAGGCTTGAGGCTTTATTAGGGGCTCTGAGTGCACGAGCCCCAAGCAAGAAGTGCAAGCACTGCTGGCCAAAGCCACAAACAGAAGCAAGACAAAATACGCTTAGGGTCTGCGCAGGCAAGAACCCCAAAGGTCTAAAGCCGCCCGTACACCGCCACGCGACTTAGGTAGTTTGGCAACACGCATGCTGCCCGAGGACCCATATTCTGCGTTAAGGCAACTTTGCCAATCACTTTTGGCAAAAGCCAGATTCCGACCTCATCACACTCACATTCCACATGCCCCCAAAGGTCACGCGCTGTGCGCTGGCGTGCGCCCGAGCGGCAAAGGGTGCGTATTGAGAATGGGCTGAAGATGCACGACAAAAATATATGTCCACGTCTGGACACAGGTCAAACCTTTAGCAGAACGGTGCCATGCCAGGTCTCCGGAGTTTCAGAAAGCGCAGAAAGTGATGTTGGTAGGGCTCATCAGAATGGTTCCCAGCATCCCGTCCATTGACTCCTTTTCCGCTTTGCTACATTATATACCACAGCAATGCATACATACACTGGTATGTCACACACACACACACACACGCACACTTCGTCTCCATGTCAGCTCCGCAAACTTGGCAATACATTAAAATAGACAAAAAACGAGTGCGAAAGTCTTCTCGAATCGGCTTCTAATTATGGGCTTTGGCACCTGCGGCTGCGCGCTCGGCTTGCTCTGCCTCAGCTGGCCGGCGCTCGACCGCTCGACTCAGCTCCGTGCCACTGCGAGGCCCGAGCTGCCGCGTTCCTTGCGCGGGCTCTGCCGGCGTTCCTGCCAAATGCGATCGAACACGTGAGCTTGGAGCATCGACCAGCTCTTAACGCCCTGCCTTGCTCTTGGCCTTTTCCTGCGCACGGCTCCACGGCACTTGTGCAGCAATACCCAGCGGCAAGCGCTCTGAAAACTTGACATGCCGGACCTTGGCACGCTCTTCCTTTTTGGCCTTCTCCTTTTCCTGGAAGGCTGCACGCACTGTTGCTTCGACAGATTGAAATCCTTTTTCATCTGTCCTTGGGGCGCTCTTTCTTTTCTTTGTCCTGAACAATAATTACAAGCTTCATGACCTCTTCTCCTATCCGTGCACCTGTTGGGCAAACTCTCAGGCCTCAGACTTTCTCTTTCCCCGCACCTGGCAAGGATCCCTCGCATCACCTCTCGCCCTGCATCACGACTCAGCAGGTCGTTGGAAGGGACCAGAGAACAGCTTCCGCGCGCCTTCTGCGCCCTGCTTTCTGCTACGGAGTCCTGTGCAGCGACATGTCAAAAGGCCATCCCTGCGGAGCTATCATTGTGGAGCCATACAAAGCTCCCACTTACCCACCTTGTTTGCCCAACTGCTAGTCTGACATATTTGGCAAATCCGCCGACCCCATGCCTGGTCCAGAATGGACCATGCTTTCGGCATGGGGGCGGTGTGTTCTGTGTTGCTTTTGTTGATATGCTTTCTATAAGTTTAATGTGAATATGATTATGTAGATATATATATATATATATATAACCTATATGTCCCTTGGGGCGGCCCTTGGGGCTGGTTTCTACGTCGGCTGGATTTCTGGATTTCTGGATTTCTGGATTTCTGGATTTCTGGATTTCTGGATTTCTGGATTTCTGGATCTGTGGATTTCTGGATCTCTGGATTTCTGGAATTCTGAAATCTTTCAAGCTTCTTCCCGTAAATTTCCGCAATCTTTCGGCTTCTTCCCGTAGTCTTCCGTAATCTTCCGGCTTCTTCTCCTAGTCTTCCGATACTGTTTCGGGACCAAACAACGCGCGTGTCCTGTGCTTTCGGGCTTCTTCCCTAGGCTTCGGGTAGTCTTCCCCCACCCCTCCGCCCCCCCCTGTGTCTGTCTATGTCTGTCTACGTATCTGCATCTGTCTTCGTGTCCGCGAAGACCCCCCCTGCCCCTGCGTGTCTGTCTGTGTCTCTTTGTGTCTGTCTGGGTCTGTCTGCGTCTGTCTTCGTGTCCGCGAAGACCCCTTGCGTGTCTGTCTCTGTCTCTTTGTGTCTGTCTGTGTCTGTCTGTGTCTGTCTACGTATCTGCGTCTTTCTTCGTGTCCCCCCCCCCCGCGTGTCTGTCTGTGTATTTGTGTCTGTCTGGCTCTGTCTGCGTCTGCCTGCGCATCTGCGTCTGTCTTCGTGTCCGCGAAGACCCTCCCCCCCCGCTGCGTGTCTGTCTGCGTGTCTTTGTGTCTGTCTGTGTCTGTCTACATATCGCGTGCTTTCTCTCGTCCCGGGCCGAAATTCTAAGGTGTGTGGGGGCGGCGGAACCAGGCCGCAGGCCATTAAATAATATTGCCACAACTAGCTCGGCCAACAATGCAGAATTTCTGCAGAGTTCCGCTGCTGCTACAAAGCCTGCGGTTCTGTCTTGCAAATGCTTCTACTCAACATGGTGGCCACTCAATACTTGTCGCCTGGCGAACTTTGGCCGGTTATTTGGCTGCCTCCTGATTCGAGCCTCAACGCGTAAAACAAGCCATGGCGGTTTACTCAGCCAGCACTGGGAGCCTGGGTCGATTGCGAGGGGAATCCCCTCAAGGCCAGAGGACAATGCGGGAGCAAAGCTTGCCCCGCAGGACTTGGTAAGTGGAGCTGATTCTTCACCGTTGCAAGCGCAAGCAACAAATAGTTCCTGCCTTCGTAAAACATGCATGGCCCAACTCGTTCATCGCCTTCTCCATGCAGAAAAAAATGTGTGTGTGCTTCCCGAGGGGGGAGGCTTCTTCTCCATACGCCGCTCGCAGCCCACAGTCCTCTCTGGCCTTCTTCGCCTGCAAGGCCCAAGGCTTGGCTCCAAAGAATTGCGAATCGTCATTCCCTGAATAGGCCGCATAGGTTCTCTGGTGCTGTAGCCATGGCCTGTGTGGGGTTCACGCCAGACTCCCTTGCCCATCCAATGACACACCCTGGCAACATTTATTGACGACGCGGCCACCAAGGTCTAGCCGCAGCCCGAATCGCGTACAGCACACAGTTGCCGTCTGTCGGCCTTCTTCGCAGTCTCCTTTTCCCCCTTTTCCCCCTTTTTCACCTTCTCAGCCCTCTCCTTGACCTTTTTGGTCTTGACCTCCTGGCTCTGACGTCTGCCGGCTCAACGGGCTCCCAGTCATGAACTTGTTGGGAGAAAGTCTCAAACTTGCCGCCTCTGGCAAAACAGGTGCCCACAGCCCAATGCTCCCTGCTCTTCGCACCCCTTCACTCCTTGGTCTTTTCCTTGGGCTCGCTCGGCGCTTTGGCCTGCGACAGAATCCTACCCTTTGCTGAACTTTTCACAAACACCGACACCACATGTTCAGAATCGGCCCACGTCACAGTCTCTCAGCAAAATTCTGGCCTTGCTGCTCTTCTCTTTGTGGGACTTCTCTCCTGGTGGTCTCGAGTACAATAACAAACTCAAGTGCTCTGCAGTGGTCTGAAGTCCTGCTTTCTTCTTTGCCCGCGTCTCCTCACCGCAGGGATCTCAACAAAACACAGAAGCATGAACAAAGCAATGCTCTCCTTCTTGGCTGCTTCTACAGACTCTTCTGCTTCTTCTGTCTGCACATAGCCCTCATCCTATAAAACACAGCGCACATTCCGCAAAATCGCTTGCAAACCAAGCTCAGCCTCGTCATCCAAGTGCTGGGCGCTGTCCTCTTCCTCCTGTGTGCGTGTGCGGCATGTCAAACTCAGCCGGCTGCCCCATGTGGAAGCCCCTGCCTCCGTGAGGACAGCCTCTGTCTCCTTAACCTGAAGAGCAGTTGCCCATGTCTTCAAACAGGTTCCCCGAAGCGACGTTCAACGGCGACCTCGCTGAAACCCAATGACCCCAGCCTCAGCTTCAGCACTTTCAGCGGCCACCTGCACAAAGGCCGTACTCAAAAACACTTCAAAAACCGTTTGCGACAACACATGTTGGTCTCAGTGAGTCCGTGTCTTGAGACGCACTTTCTGCAAGCGTTGGACCGAGCTTCGGCTACAAATGCTACAAGCAAAGTCACTCAAGTTGCAGCTGCCAATTTTGACACTTCGCTGGCTGCTCTGAGCCTCCTCGGTCTCAGGCGCTTTTCGCCTCCTCCTTGCAAGATCCAGGCATCAAAGCCAACATCTCATGCCTATGCGTAGCGTGAGACTGACCGTGCAAATGCGCGAAGTTGGTCCTTTTCTCCTTCTTCACCTTCTTCTTTTTGCTCACCTGGTAAAAATGAGTTCGACTCTCCTTGAACCCACACCGCCCAGACAGCCGGCCTTCGCATCCTCGCCTAAGCTGGTCTCAAAGCACAGCCGGCTGTCAAAAAGGCATCAACATGTCTTTGTATTTGCCAAACCCTCGTGCTCACTCACCTTCTCACCAGTCCGAGATGTTTCGATTATTTAAGAAACGAAAACAAGTTCCGGCTTTTGTGTAGACACATTCGCGGGTGGCTGTAAATTCACATTGGTAACAAACAATAATCCTGGACTGGATGGGCTGGCGTTTCTCGCCACATAGCCTCGCCTGCATTAACGCCGTTCTCGTTCTCCTTGCCCTGCGTAGCACCCTGGAAGGCGCAAATGTACGTCAACACATCGTCTGCGCGACAGCGCTGCAGTTTCGACCCCAGAGTGGCGTGGGATGCCCACTTTTGGAAGAATATGATCCCGAATTGTAGCGTGTTTTCCCTTCTCTCCTGTGTGGAGCGGCCCATGAAATCCGTCAGCAGGCTCTCGCCCTGGACAGGCTCAACGGCACAAAAGGCACGCTCAAGTTTCAAGGAGGCAGGACATCGCCCACAAATCGCAAAAAAGAAACTGCACTCAAAAAATGGGATCACGGAAAGCGACATACAAGACCCGACGGAATATCTCGTTCCCTCTTGTCGCTTGCCAAATGTGCATGTTTGACAATTTGATATGCATTAAAGCGATCTTAAATGTTATCATCCGTTCTGCTTCATCGTTTCAGGGGACCCACCCTGAATCCCGTTGACTCCGCTTAAATATATTGTATCGCGCATACATCTGGCTTCCTCATTGGAGCTGCCAGGCTTTCCAGACATGGCGCTTGTTTCGCTTGATTCATTTAATGTGTCCATGGCTTGCACTTCTTAGTCCGCTGACAGACTACAAATACATGTTGTCCTGTCAAGAAAGACTGCTGAGTCTCTCAAGATCTTTCTTTTGGAAGGTTTTGTCGTCGCGGAGCCGGGCAGCAGCTCGGAAACAAAGTGATACTCGGTAGACGCCTACGGCAACACGTTATCCTGCTTTCCTGGTTGCTTCAGAGATTTCCGCACATATGCGTGACTCTTTATATGAGCTACGGACGATATTACCTGTTCTCCCCGGAGTGCATAGGAAACTTGCTCTGTCCACTGGTTTTTGTAGGGAGAGTGGGTTATCCATATCCTCCCCAAACCAACATTAGACTACACGCGCCAATAATATTGTCAGTGACTCACATGTGTTCAGAGTTTGCCAGCTGCGAGTTCTCCAAATCTGCGCGGACGTCCCTCGAGTTTCTCCCCAGTTTCGCTCTCTCTCGTAAGGCAGGATACATCCCATCGGCGAAGTGAGAGCTCCATCTCAGACCCGAGCCTGCGCCAGTTCCCTGGGCGTGAGCTTCGGCTTTGTGCGCTTCTTTGCCAAGTCCTACTGCCACGAGGACTGCGCGAATGCGAGAAGCGAATCATAGTGCTAGAAAACGTGCAATGATGGATTTCACCGTCCTGTGCCAGGACCCGTAGCGCATGGCGGTTGCTGGCAAGGAAGGTTTCCATGGAGTCGGCTTTGCCTTCGCTCTTCCCTCGCCGCTGCGGGCCAATCGCTCGGCAACAAAAAAACAGGCAACAAAGCATTGGTGGATCTAATTTCACCAGTAGGAATAATGAACGCAGGGGGTGAAAGTCCTCCACTTAAACGAAGATCGCCGGCTGGAATGGCAAATGCAACTGCGAAGTTGATCACGAACGAATACACGTGCAAGGGGGTCAGGTGCAAAGCTTGAAATACTGTGGATCCAGCCACGATGGCACACCAACAACAATACGTCTTTCACACCGTAGACGGTAGACACATTTGCGCAAACATGGCAAGTCAACTTGCGTTGGTCATTGCAGCATCAGGACATGCTATCAATGTGGAAGGGACATTGGCAATCTTACATCTAAATGCGTTAGTTTGCGCTTTGCTCAGTTCAACTGCAGGCTGGAAGAAGCAAACATCTGGGCATCTGTTGGTCCCTGTAGGTAAGGCGTTGACGGTCTTATAGAACGTCCTTCTGGGCAATTTTAGGCAACACTCCAATTTCGCGGCCCAATCTAAACCTTGAGAGAATCAACAAAAATCCGCAGCAGACCGCCGTTCTGGCTATGCCTCTCACCTGCGGATGACCATCGGGGGAATCCCCGGGCGCAAAAAATGCGGCCTTAATCATAGGATCCCCAACACCAGAGTAAAAGGACAAATGGCCGTGCGGGCCCCGTGACTGGTGTCGAAGAGCGTGGTGTTGTCGCGTGTCAGAGCCACGAGTGCGTCTGGTGACCCTGGTGCGATGTATACTATGGGGCCAAGAGCTGCCATCGTGTAGAAACGGATAGAAATGGTTGCTGGGCGCCCATCCACTCGGCTGCAGCAAGTCGAAAGCCTGGGCCAATTGATGCAAATTGCTGCAAGAAACTCGGCTTACAGGCATAACACGGCTTGGCTTACTCGGCTTACGGGCAAGGACTCCTGAAGTACCAGGCCTCGGGGGGAGGGGGTTGAGGGGAGAGTTCAATTAATTTGAGAAATAAATCGCTGGGTGCAATCACGCAAATAAGCTATCGAGTGGATCAGTCAAGCTTTGTTTGGGCAACAAAATGGCCAGGGTGCTTACATGGCTAAAAATACTAAACTCACGGTGGTTCAACATCCACCACTCAATTAATTTTCACAATCAGGGAAACACCGGAAAATCTGGGGCCAGGGATCTGTCCAGTATCGCGGGCTGAACGCACGTGGCCACACGTCTGCACGTACCCTGCAAACAGACTCCCCCATGCTTGAACCTCAATACTGCAGTGCAGTCAAGTTCCGTGCTCCACAAAGCAAACTTTAAACAAAAAATCGCCGTCTGGACTCGCTAGAACGCTCATGGTTCCGTCTTGCCAGCGTCTAAAAGCAGCACGGCGGCCGTCAAACCACGCAAGTTGTCGTGGGGTACGTGCTGTCATGGTCGTCGTGGTCGTGGTGGCAGTGGTTGTGGCCACGAACATGACTGGACCTGGTTTGCACATAGAGGGCATCTTCTGCTGGTTGTCTGAGAACAGGCGGCACCGAGCAGCGCAAGCATTGACTTGACGGCAGAGCTGATCCTATAACCCTCGCGCATTACAGAGCCAAGGTAGTAAGCCAAATACCAGCAGCTGGAAAGCACGCTGCAGTTTGACTTGCACTCTGTCAGGGTCACTTCTTCTAAGGTCAAGATCTCCGACCCAGGCAGTACTGACCCGTAC